GAGAAAAAATGATGATTCCGTGTTTTTTTTTAAAAGTCAAAAATGATTTTGATTGATACACAAGGATTCTTGGTGGAAAAAAAGAAAGAATATTTTTTGGAATTCAAAGAATTTTTCTCTGTAATATTTATCATTAAAATTCTGAACAGAATTTGTCAATTTTTGATATACAAAGGAAAAATGAATAAATCACTTTCGATAGAAATCACATCAATATTGTAATCAGGAAAAAAAATGACAACAACAACAAACAGCAACAACAAAATGATTATTAAAACCATCATGTAATAATGATAATCATTCTATATTCAGATTCTGTACATATAGAGAATATATTCAAAAAAAAAAAAAAAAAAAAAATCTAAATATTCGTTTTCGAAGCCCATTCACATGATATTTTTCAAAATTTTTTTTTTTGATCCGCATTATTTTTTGTTGTTGTTGTAAATAGGATTTTTTTCCATCTCCCCTCTCTATATTCTCTTCCGAATGGATATTCTATGGACAAATTTTTTTTCTAATTCAATTGAAAATTATAATCCATAGAATTTTTTTCTTTTTTACACACAGAATGTGTGTGTGTGATCGACCAAAGTAATGTAACGGTTGACGGTTGTATTTTTTATTCATTTTGTTTTGAATGGTACCTCTTTATAATAATGTATGTATGTGTGTGTGTGTGTACAAGGATGCATGGCTAATATGTTTTTCATATTTTGTTTCTGTCTAGCAATTTTGTTTGGCCAAAATTTCCATTTCAGATTTTTTTTTCGTTTTCATATTTTTTTCCACCCCACTAACATCATTTGATTGCTTTCTTGCTTGCATCATCATCATCATTATCATCTGATATTAAAGTCAAATATTTGACCAGTTTCTTTTCACTATACATATAATATTTTCACTATGTTNTTTCTGTCTAGCAATTTTGTTTGGCCAAAATTTCCATTTCAGATTTCATATTTTTTCATATTTTTCCACCCCACTAACATCATTTGATTGCTTTCTTGCTTGCATCATCATCATTATCATCTGATATTAAAGTCAAATATTTGACCAGTTTCTTTTCACTATACATATAATATTTTCACTATGTTAAAAGATTTTTTGTTTTTGTTTTTCTGGTCGACAACCATGTGCTGTCAGGGTTTTTTATTTTTTGCTTCATTTCATCATCTATTCTGTACTATTTCCCAAGTTCCTGGAAATTTTAACCGATCCAAGAATGTAAATGGAGAAATATAAAAAAAAGGAAAAAAAATCTAATAACCAGCACCTGCGTCTTTGTTTGCGTTATTTGTTGTTTGTTACTGTTTTGTCATTCTCTTTTTTTCGGTTTTTCTTCAGTTTGGTTAGTGACCGGTATTGTTTGCCGAAATTCCAAACAACAAAAATTTCACTTGAATAACATTTTCAAATAATCGTTCAACGACTTGGATTCTGGGATTTTATTCCAAGAGAAAAAAAAATTGCAAAAATAAAACTACTCTAGAATGTATTTGATGAACGGGGGGAATCATGAGAATATTTAACCCGAATAAGCCTTTCTATTACTTAATAGACAGAATATGCGTGTATGTATGTATGTTGTTGTTGTTGTTGTTGAATTTTGAAACCAATATCCATTCGGTACAAGCTAAAATTTTCTCATTCATTTCATTTCATCTCATTGATGATGATGATGATAGTGATGATCATTGATAGGATCCTCTAAGGAAACATGAAACATTTTTTTGTGAAAAAAAAGCATGGATTTCCTTCTCTCGTCATCATCTTTTCGTCGTCGTCGTTGTCGTCGTTCGTATATTTTACAAATGCGCAAAAACATTTTTTTTTTTGTTTTTCTTTGGTCTCTACAGACAACACACGCATTCCATTACATTATATTTCACATGAGATCTTTTTTCTTTTTCCCCAGAAAAAAAATATACAAAAAAATATTTGTGGTATGTGTATAATACGCCATGGTGTTGTTTTTTTTCTGGAAGATAGGAGTATTACGTTATATGGATTGTTTCTTTTTCTCTTTCTTTCTTTCATTTTTTTTCAAATAAAAATACACTTGTGAATAAACCATGCATATACTTTGGCGCTAGGATGGTTCTGTCACAATCGATGCGTTTTTCTTTCGCTATTTTTTTCTCTCTTCGCTATAATTTCTCTGTTTTCACATTTCATTTTAAAGAAAAGCTTGGCGCCATTCAAATCTCACTTTTTACATTCTTTCGTTTGTGTTTCCTTTATTTCTGTTCATCTTATTATTGTCGTCGTTCGGCGACTTTTTTTTCATCGTATATATGGTGTTTTTGCTGTCTGTATTGTGTTCGGTTAAATTTTTGGTTTTGTTTTCTGTTCAAAAATTGCTGATGATTTTTCTCTTTTTTTTTCCCATCAAATAATATCATTGTGCTTGTTGTTGTTGTTGTTGTTGCTGCTGATGGATAGTGGTCATTATCGTGATTTTTTTTTTCTTTCTTGTTTGCCCCATTCACCAATGATCGCCAATCATCGAAAAATGATGATCCAAAACAATTTGTAATTAATGTGTTTTGATGATGATCATTTCAAAATCATCATCGAAAATCTGAGAGAAAATTTCTCTCGGATTTTAAAAATTCAATGAAAAAGTTCAATCATTTGGCCTCTGTTTGGGATTTTTTCATTTCTTCATTTCATTTCATTCGCTTCCAATGATTCATCTGTCTGTCTGTCTTGTGTTTTGTGTGCGTGATGAAATATTGATTGAATTTCTCTGTTTCAACAACGATATTTGAATTTCAACAAAAAAAATTAACACATTTTGATTCAGTCTGGTTCTCTCTCACTGTGTCTGTGTATCTTATTTACTGGTTGGAATTTTAAATCAAAAAATTTCAACAAGCAAAAAGCGAAAAATCCAATCAAAGTTTTTTTTTCGATTGTTTTCCTTTCATTAATGATGATTTTCTAATTCTAAACACACACACACACAGTGTATCAAAGTTTTTTTGGAAATTTTCTCTTGTTGTTGTCATTATTCCAAATGATGTGATTTATTTGTGTTTGTTTGTTTGTTTTTTCAAACTTTTCTTCATTTTCTATTTCCATGTTTTTTTTTCATTTCATTTCATTTTGATTTTGATTTTGATTTTGATTCATTGTCGACAACCAAACCAATTCAAACCAAACCGAAAAATAATGATGTGAACAGAAAAAATTTCAAAATTCTTTTTGAAACAACAACAAAAAAAAAACTTCGCTGTTGTTTTTCGTCATTGGTGATCTGTTTTTTGTCATTAATGATGTTTTTTTGGTTTTTTTTTCGGATTGGCATCCGCCATCACCAATACATTGAACCATACAAAATAAACATCCGATTCATCAATTTTCAATTCAATTCAAAACGAAATTTTTTAAAAATCCTTTACATTTCAAAGAAAACATTTCATTTCTGTTCATATCTAAGTTTCCAAGTTCAAAAAGAATCTCATTTTTCCCAATAATAATAACAACAACAAACGAAGAAGAAGAAGAAGAAAAAAATCAACAAATTTTCATTAAAATGCAAGAGAGAGAGAAAAAAAATTTGATTCTTCTTTGATGATTGAATTTTTATCATTATTGCGATGCCGCAAAAATTGATTTGTTTCATTTCGTTTATTTTCTTCATTGTATCCCATCATCATTGTTGTTGTTGTTGTTGTTGTTGTTGTCATCGAATTTCGACAACAACAAAAAATGAAACATATTTTATTACAGAATCACTCCATAAACAACAACAACAACAAAACATTAATAATAACTTTTTTATATATGACATACGCTACAGATATATAATTTCTGTTCATATCTAATGATTTTTTCTCGAATACATTATTATTTTTATTTTCATATTTTCCAATTGACATTTTCTATGTTGTTACTGCTGGAAATTGTTCATTCATTCGAGAAAATCATATTCGTATTCGATCTCTGTGTGTGTATATGTGTGTTTGATGTGCGATAATCCATATATCCATATATATTGTCATCAATATTATCTTTATAATCATTTTTTTTGGTGGTTGGTGGTTGTAGTTTTTCTTTTTGCTGCCCTTGTTGATGATAATCATGATCATAATAATAATAATAATGTTGCAGCGTGACCATAATCACGATTCATCATCATCATCATCATCCGTTTCATTTTCAATGTGATTATATTTTACTGTGACATATTCACTTGCACAAACACAAAAAGAAATCTGTAAAAATCTTTAGGTTTTTTTCCTTTTTCCTTTTCGGTTGTTGTTGTTCATTTAGTCAACTATTTTAACCTAATGTCAAAGGTCAAATCGAAAATTTAATTATAAACGAAAAAAATGGCCAATAATAATAATGTAGAAATTGAAACAATTGACCCAATGAAACAGGTCAAATCAAATATAATAACAACAACAACAGCGACATCCGTAATGAAAATTGATTCGACTATTCCAACATTAGAAGATCAAACAAGTAATAATAGTAATAGTAATAGTAATAATGGTGATAATGATAATCATGATGATAATGAATCAAATAAAATACATTTACATAATAATAATAATAATAATGATAAAATGTCAGCAATTCGTTGTGTTGTATCCATTGATTTTGTCGATGATAATGATAATGATAATGGTGATAATAATAATATTAAAAATGGTAATAATATTGATGATAAATATAAAAAAAATATGATTATGAAAATTGATGAAAAACGTGGTTCAATCGATATGAATAAACAACATTATTTTGGTTCATCATCATCAATCAATCATAATCAAATTGGACAACAACAACAAACAACTACAACCACCACCACAACAACAACAACAACTATCATCACATCACCAACAACAACATTATCATCAAATTATCATCATAATCATCGTTCACCATCACCAAATCGTAAACTAATGAAACATATGTCTAAAAATTCTTCATTCAATATTTACTATAATAATAATAATCATTATAATCATAATAATGATAGAACTATGTCAAATATACAACAAAATCAAACAACAACATTATCGATTAATGATGATTGTTTGGATAATAATCGAAATAATAATAGTAATAGTTGTAAAAATCTTACATCACCAACAACATTACAATCACCATCATCACCATTATCATCAACAACAATGATAAATAATCGTCAAATGATGATAAAATCACGTGGTTATTTATCAGCATATAATAATTCTATTGGTAATACGGGTAGTGGTAATGGTGGTGCACCAATATTATTATCAGTACCAAATATTAATGGTTGTCCACCAAGACGTCGTCATTCATGGATTTGTGGGTAAGTTGTTTTTTGGGTGAATAAAATTGGATGAAAAATGTAATTTTTCAAAAAAAAAAAAAAAAAAAATCCAGGTCGGGTTCAAACATTTCTTTACCTGGTTCAAAAAATGTATCTGGGTTTTGCAAAAAAAAAATAAACTCATTATTCTTCATTACATATGAAAACAAAACAAACCAGAAAAATGTATTCTCTATTCTTGAACACCTTTTTCATACACCCACNTTATTCATGGATTTGTGGGTAAGTTTTTTTTTGGGGGAAAAAAATTGGATGAAAAATGTAATTTTTCAAAAAAAAAAAAAAAAAATCCAGGTCTGGTTCAAACATTTCTTTACCTGGTTCAAAAAATGTATCTGGGTTTTGCAAAAAAAAATAAACTCATTATTCTTCATTACATATGAAAACAAAACAAACCAGAAAAATGTATTCTCTATTCTTGAACACCTTTTTCATACACCCACACACAAACATACACATCATTTTCTTTTTCACACAAATTTCTGTTATTAATTGCTTTTGATGATGACGATTTTGTTTTGCTTCGTTTTTTGTTTCGTTTTTCTCATTAAAAATCCGAATCGATTAATTAAGATGTTATTCTTTTCTGGTTACAATGAATGAAAAAGTGAAATTAAGTATCAAATTGTGTAAAATCATCTTCCAATGATTATAATGATTATTTTCGCTTACGTTACTATAGTAATTCTGTTTCTTTTTTGACAAAATCTGATTATAATTATCTCATTTTTCACTCTTTCTTTTTTTCTCCTTACTTTTTATCAATGAATTACTTTTAGTGTATCAAATTTCTTATTTCTATTTTGTTTCTAATTGTATTTTGGGTTTTTGCAACCATTCTGTTTTTTGGTTTTTTGATTATCTTTTTCACTGCCCAGCGACAGATAATGATGATGGTGATGATGATAATAATAATGGAATCAATAGATTTGTAATCATGGATCATTCATCAAGTTAATTAAAAACAAAAAAAATTATCTTAACAAACTCAGAATGAAGACGACGATCAATCGATTTCACTGAATATCTATCGATTTCAATCTAGTCATTTCATTTCATTTTACTTAGTTATTGATTGAAAATTGAACCAAAAAAAAATCAATCTTAGATTCTGGATGTTCTTTTTTCTGGTTGCTCGAAATTCAATCACAATGTTTTTTCTTCTGTTTTTTCTAATATTGTCAATTTGAAAACTGTCAACTGTTTAGTGTGTAAGATGACCAATCAAGAACCAAAATTCATGATTCATGATTCTGATGACTGTTTGAAAATTGACTTTTTTTCCAGTTTTTTTTTCTCACTCACTTTATCCAATCAGAAAAGTTGCATTTTGATTTCAATAAAATTGATTTCCAAAAAGAAAAAAAAACATACATCTTCCAATTGGGAATTGATAAAATTGATCGTGTGTTTTAGGGGAAATTTATTTTTATTTTTTTTCCCTACAAACATCACGTAATCATCGCATAAAGGTATACGAATGAAAAGCAAAAACCAAATGACCAAATATCTTATGGATAATCTTAACTTATCAGATTTTCGCCCATTTCTAATTATTATTTCATTCAAATTCCACAGACTATGTAGTCATTGTGTAATATTTTTTTTCTCTTACTGTTCAATCCAATTTATTCGATCGTTTCGATTGAATATTTGCAGAAAAAACAACAACAAATCTATTGTTGAATGAATGCAATACAATCATTGAATTCACTTCAATTGAATTCACTTTCATACGAACCGAATTTTTTATTTTCAATCAACTTTTTTTTATTATTGTCATTGCTGTTGTTGTTCAATAGAAAATTGAACAACAAAAAGAAGAAGAAGAATGTACTCAATATTCATTGTTATTCTTGTTGTTGAATTCTTTTTCAGCCAACAGCCAATAACAACAACAACAACAACAAAATGAAAAAAAAAGAATCTCTTTTTTTCAAACAACAACAACAATTCAAACAAAAAAAAAATAGATAAAAAGCAATGTTTGTTTATTTTTTTGAATTGAAAATTGAAAATTGTTGAACATTGAAATGGACAATAAAAAACGACTGAAGATTGATTACATTTGAAAAAAATTTTTCTTTCAAACAATAGAAACAGAAAGGTCACTTTTTTCACACACACTGGACAATTTAATCAAAAAAAAATTTTTGCTTTCAATAAAATAAAAACATTGAAAAGTGTATCGTTCAGAAAAGTCAATGTCTTTATTTATCATTTTGATTATTATGCTGTGTTCCTAAGAATTCAAGAATTGATTCTTAGGAAAGTGGAAAAAGAATATTCTCAATTGATAACATGAAAATCCAAAAAATACATATTCTGTATGCATTGAAATCAATTAATTTATGCGAAAATTTTTTTTCCTTTCAATCATTTATGAATCATCATCGTTATCATGTTTAATGGATGTTTCTTGTTTAACATTTCCAATGTCAATGTGTGTGTGTGTGTGTTTCAATATGAACACGATTGGCTAATCAAAAATCAATCTCTGATAATGATAATGTTGATGATGTGATGTGACGATGATAATCATCGAATAATGTCGATGACATGTTTCAAGATTGTTCCAATTTCCAATGCAAATTAATTGATATTTAATCAATGATTTTTTCGTCCGTTCATTCATGATCATCATCATCGTGTTTTGCTTAATCTTTCTTTGCTTTTTTCATTCATTTATTTATTAATTTCATTTTTTTTTGCCTCTGCTAATTAGCAAAAACCAACAGAAAAGTACAGCAGCGAAGATGTCTATGTGACAATCATCAGATAATCATAACAAACAACAACAACAAGATACATGGTCATCATCATTATGTGTGTTTTCGTGTGCTGCTTGTGTGCTTTTCATTCCAGTTGATAATGATGATGACATTCCGAATGTCGACAACAGAAAAATTAGATACAGAAAATCCATTTACACACAGGGAGAAAAAAAAATTATTATTATATCTGTCATATTCATCTGTTTGTTTGTTTGTTTGTTTGTTTTTGGACCCAAATCATGATTATATTTTTTTCCAATGTCCAAAATACAACATAACATAACATAACCAGAGAGAAAAAAAGATTAATTAATGACTGTGCCTAATGACAAATCATCATTTTTTTGTTGCTGTTGGTGTTCTATAGGTGAGATTTTCCTATTTCGAAGTTGATGATGATGAAGATCGATTTGGCTGAAAGAAAAAATTTTATCCTTTTTTTTCTTTTCCTTTCATTTCAAATTTAATTTGATTTTCGTTTTTTTTCGCGATTCAACGGAAAAAAACATAAAAAAATTCTTATGATTGTTATGCAATCAAGTTTTTCAATGGAAAAACAGAGAGAGCTTTCTTTTCCAATTTTGAATTTTTTCTTCCTTTTTTTATTCAAAATGATGATGAATCGTTAAATTATTCATCTGTTGTTGTTGTTGTTTTGAGTTATCAGTATAATTTTTTTTCATTTGAATTTTTCTTCATTTTCTTGTGTTTAATATTCAAAAAATTCAAAGAAAAAAAAGAAAGAATGTTTGGTTACATGATGATGGAATTGTAATTCTGCTTTTCTTTTTGTGCTGCCTCCCTCATCACAATGTGGTTAAGTAGAGAGTTTCACAAGATTCTTTCAGAAAACTCTTTTGCTTCTGCGATAAATGAAACAAATGAAATGAAATGAATAGAGAGGGGAAGAAGAAAAAAGCACGTAATTGAATATTATTATGGTAAGAATTCAACAAGAATTTTTTTTTTTTT